TCCACGCCCAGGCCGCGCCAGGAGCTCGGACCGAAGCCGCCGCCCCAGCACCCCTCCCTCCGCCCGCAGCCTACGCGGAGCTCCGCGCGCCGGCCGCCATCCGCCGCCCGCCGCCGCAAGCTCCCCCTCGCGAGCGCCCAGGAAACGACGGGGAGAAGAGGCCCCGCCGCCGCCGGATCCGCGCGGGCTTCGCCCGGCGGAGCCCACCGGCGACGGCGAGGGGAGTGTGTGGAAGGAGGGCACGCGGTGGACGGGGCTGAGCCGCCGCTCGTGTCGCCCCAGGGAGGGAGCGACGCGAGAGCTGGATGTTCGTGAATGGTTTGAGGTCGCTACTTATTTTAAATTTGCCAAAAGATTGTCATTCTTTCTAGTGCTTTTTTTGTGGGTATTTTTTCTGGTGCTTTCAGGAGGATGACAACCTGCACTTCAAGCTATGAAGTTTATTTTTGGCATTACTCTACTTACAATTTGTAAAGTTGTTTCATAATTTCGTCCAACCAGTATGTCTTTGCACACTTCAATTTTTACTGTAACAGCTATATGTTATAATTGATATCATGTTTCTATTCGCTATACTATTTTTGAGTGATATATTATTGTTGTACAATAATATGAAAGTGGACATTACAGTTAACCCATTCATCCCAAATCCTCACATTGAGTCAATGAGTGAACCCAATGGCCAACTTTTCTGGCTCCGCCCCTGGTCCTGTTATTCATGTCTAGTACTCTCTTCGTATGAAATTACCCTAAAATGGATATACTATCTAGAACTAAAATACGTTCATTTTTTGACAAATAATTTCAGACTGAGGGACTAGTACATGTATTAATTATCCTAGAGCGGAAGTTTTGACTTGACCATCTGTCTTCTCGTTGTTTCCAAGCTCGGGCACGCCCTTCTCCTTCCTCTGCGCGAGCTCCCCCACATGGCGAACCATATCGGCCACATCCCGGTCCGACGACCCGCCCTCCGCCATCGCCTCCCTTGCCATCGTCGCGAGCTTCTTCGCCGTCGCCCGTATTCCCGCCTCCTCATCCATCAGCTCTGTCAGTGCCCACTTGATGTCGTCTCTCCCGACCTGTTCCGCGTATAGCTCGGGATTCAGGAACACGTGCAAGGCCGGCACCTTAACACCGACGCGGACGCCGGCGCCGAGCACGTCCACGACCAGCGTCTCGTTCAGGAACTGGTCGGCGATGTGCGGCCATGTCAGCAGCGGCACGCCGTGGGAGAGCGACTCCAACGTGGAGTTCCACCCGCAGTGCGTCAGAAAGCCGCCCACCGCCGGGTGCGACAGGATGGTCATCTGCGGCGCCCACCCACGGATGACAAGTCCGCGGCCCTCCACGCCCTCGTCGAACCCGGCGTCGAGGTCGTCGGTCTCCCAGTCCCTAATCACCCAGACGAACGGCCGATTTGACGATTCCAGCCCGGCGGCGAGCTCGGCGAGCTGCGACGGCAAGAGGCGGGCCATGCTGCCGAAGCTGACGTAGAGCACGGACTGGTGCGGCCGCTCGTCGAGCCAAGAGGCGACCAGGCCGGCGTCCACGGCCGCGCGGTTGCCTCTTCCGGCCGTCGTCTCCGCGTCCGAGTCCAGAAGGCAGAGCGGTCCGACCGCCCACACCTTCCGGTCGAGCGCGTCTCCGTATCCCTTGATGTACGCGCTCTCGAAAGCCGCGCACGTGTTGAAGACGAAGCCGTCGGCGGTGGCCTCGGCGCGCAGCGCGTCACGCCTTTCCTTCTCCATCCCAGGAAACTGGAAGAACCCACGCGACGTGGCCTTGCTCGTGACGACGCGCCCGGGAAAGTCGGGCACCTCGAACTGCTCGAACTCGCCGGCGGCGACGCTGTCGTTGTCGTGCACGCCGTGCTTGGCCAGGCTATGGTGCGCCAGGAGGAAGAACGCGGACGGGCCGTGGAACACGAACCGTGGGATGTCAAGCCGGCGCGCGACGTCGGCCGTCCATGGGTTGCAAGTGTCCGCGACGAGGCAGTCCGGCCGCCGTGGCAGCGCGCGGAGGTACGTCTCCAGCGGCCCGGCGAGCAGCCACACGGCTTCATAGAAGAGCATGATGTGGGAGGGCTCGGTGACCATGTCGTGGCTCTCGCACCCCTCGGGCAACCCCAGTGCCGGGCGCGGGAACTGCAGCTCGGCCACGTCGACGGCGAGCCCCTCGCGGAGAGCGTGCTCCAGGACGGCCCGGTTGCGCGCGGCGCTGACGGGAGTGAGGACCACGGTGACGCGCGCGCCGCCGCGGCCGGCGATGAGGCGTGCCAGGTCGAGCATGGGGATGACGTGGCCCGGCGCGAGGAGCGGCACCAGGACGAAGTGCAGCGGCTGTACTGCCATGGCCGCGCCGAGCGCCGTACAACAAGTCAACACGAAGTAGAGGATAATTTACTTGTTGTATGCCGGAAGGAGGAGCTCCCTATAGATTAGCATCTGGAAGGCCAAGACAAATAGAATCACGAGCACAGCTAGCGCTGGATCGAGATGCAGACGTACGATAGGTTCCCTCGACGCTGAAAAGTAGATGGTGGACACTGCTGCTGTGCTGCAGTGCTGCTACATGGGCCACAGAAAGATAATTATTGGTTGGACGATGGTGAGGTGATGCCGATTACAGGCATGCATCCTTCACAAACGATGGACGGCGGACGGCGATGGCCATCCACTAAGAGCATCTTCAACCGACACACGTGGTCGCGGCGTGGTAAAAAGCGTTTACAACGCCGAAATAGCGTTCTTCTCTGGCGACTGATGACGCGGTGGTTCCTCACCTCACTCCAGCTCTTAATTTCACAAGCTACATGGACCGTGGATGGTGAAGGTGCTCATCATTCGTTCACTGCATATTCACCCACGATCCACGTCACGTCTCCCTCTTACTCACCCAGGAAGCACACACTGATGGGCCTGCGAGGAAAGGATCCTCACCAGTCATTGACTATAGCACAAAATAGCAACGTCTATAGAAACGGCCGGCTGGATCTTTGACAGCGCCGAGTAAAACTAAGAGCATCTCCAACAGCCGCGCTTCGCGCCGCGCGCAAAACATTAGTTTGCCGCGCGCGCTTCGGCTGGTTTTGCGCGGCCGTCAGTGCTAGCTCTAACAACCGCGCTAAAATGCAGCGCGCGCGCTGTTCCAGCAGCACGCAAAAAATGCAGCACGCGCGACTTGCCGGGGCATTGCATATATGGCATTTTGGACACAAAATGAATTTGAAACATTCAAAATGCAATGAACATGACATATAAAATTTTACACAAACAAGTTGATGAATAAAAGTTCATGCTCACAAGTTCATCCAACTAAGTTCAAAATGCAAACCAAGTTCAAGACACAAACGAAAGACACATCAATCCTCTTCCTCGTCTTCGTCCTCATCTTCCGAAGACGATTCTTCCGCCTCCGAAGATGAATCTTCCTCCCTCTCCTCATCATGCACCGCACCACGTGAAGCTCCGATGGTGTTGGCAAGATCTTCAACGGCATCTTCATGGGAATGTGTGTGAGGAGGCACATCGAAAGACATTTCGCCCATGGCGGCCGGAGGTGCACCCTTGCCTCCCATGAGAGAAGCAAAACTCATGCCTCCCATGGCGGCCATAGCGTCGGGGGGTGCTCCAGAGCCACCCATACCTCCATGGCGGCCGGAGGTGCACCCATGCCTCCCATGGCACCTAAACCGCCCATGGTACCTCCGAAGCCACCCATGCCACCCATGGCGACAAGGCCACCGCCACCCATTGCGCCAATGCCACCGCCACCCATTGCGCGCATCATGGCTCTTTTTTGGATCAACACTTTTTGACGGGAAAGATTGACAAACTCCTTTTGCGCCTCATTGAGGTTAGATGTGTCCAAGAAGAACAAGTGCTTCTCCCATTCCAACAACTTGGCTCGCTCCTCCATGGCCAACTTCCTCTCATTCAATGCCACTTTCCTCTCCTCGGCGGCCACCCTCCTCTCCTCGGCCGCCAACCTCCTCTCCTCGGCCGCGGCATCTTGGTTCCTTGCCATTTTCCTCACCTCGTTGGCTTCTTTTCTTGCCTTCACAATAGCTTTCATAGCATTTTTGAGCTCATCATCTCCTTTCCTCTTCTTCTTTTCGGTTTTGTCTTTCTTGCACCCATCCGGTCGTTTTGACTTCGAGTATGAAACCGAGTTGGGTGTGGGGCTTCTCTTGCCGTCATCACTTGATGCATCCTCCTCCTCCTCCTCCTCCTCACACTAGTAGAAAAGGGGGCATTGGTCCAGGCCGGGTCAGCCCATTAGTCCCGGTTTAATCCAGAACCGGGACCAATGGTGGCATTGGACCCGGTTCGTGAGCTCCGGGGGCCGGCCAGGCCACGTGGGCCATTGGTCCCGGTTCGTCTGGACCTTTTGGTCCCGGTTGGTGGGGCGAACCGGGACAAATGGGCCTCGCTCCTGGCCCACCACCATTGGTCCCGGTTGGTGCCACGAACCAGGACCAAAGGCTGCCCTTTAGTCCCAGTTCAAGCCACCAACCAGGACCAATGAGGTGCCTATATATACCCCTCGCGTAAGAGTAGAGCACACTGCTCTGTTTTTTCTGGCAGCCGCGAGTGGGAGAGGGCTTGGTGGTGCTCTAGCTCACCTCCTATGCACACAAGGTGTTCGATGAAATGCCCGAGCCACACTACTTAAGCTTTCTCCTCTCCAAGCTCGACCTCCAAGCTCCATTTTACTCAATATTTGTCTAGGTTTAGTGGTCCTTCACGCCTCGTACCCGTCTTCACCGCCGTCGATCACCCGCGCCGATCTCATCGCCGGCACCACCGTGGTGAACCTCTTGTTCTTATCTTCTTTCTGAAAGGAAAAATATTCTTACTTGTATGTTTAGATAGATACTTGTATTATTTTCTTACTTTTATTATTGCATCTTATATAGTGCGATGGTTTTGGTATCCGCCCCCGTCGGCCCTCGTCCTGTCTATGATTCGAATGTGGTATATATTATCTTTTCATAACTATTGGTTCATTTATTATTTATGAAAATTATGCCGACCAACATGACATAGATTTTATTTATCTAGGAGGTTGTTGAACCGGAAATTCCAACCGACCCTATTGTCGAGAGGTTAAATTTAGTTGAAGAAGAAAACAATTTCTTGAAGGAAAAAATAAGAAAAAATTGAGGAGGAGAAGATGATATTGGAGTTGCATGTTGCGGATGTCGTCGATGATCACAAGATCAAGATGGATGCAATGCGCTTGAAGATTAGAAAGATTAGAAAATATGTCATTCATACCGAGGCCTGGTATCATTATGTCGTTGGATCAGTTGTTACCTTGGTTGCGATTATGATCGCATTTGTTTTCGCATTGAAATGTTTTACATAGTTTCAATGTATGGTTTAATTAATTTAGATGCTCTGCAGAGCTTTATGTTGTTCTGTAATGATTTTCGCTTGAAGATGAGAACTATGTATGTACTTTGGTTTTAATGTGATGATGAACTTCTATTAATTTGGTCACTTAGTTATCCATTCATGATGTTCTGTAATGATTTTGACACACTTAATTATATATAATGCACGCAGATGAACTGGCAATGGATGTACGGTAACAGACGCACCTCCGAGTACATTAAGGGCGTGCATGATTTTCTCGAAGTTGCTGAGGCAAACAAGCAGAATGGTTTTATGTGTTGTCCATGCCCTATATGTGGGAATACGAAGTCTTACTCTGACCGGAAAATCCTTCACGCCCACCTGCTTTACAAGGGTTTCATGCCACAATATAATGTTTGGACGAGGCACGGAGAAATAGGGGTTATGATGGAAGACGGTGAAGAAGAAGAGTACGATGCAACTACGTGCCCCCTGAATACGGTGATGCTACTGAACATCAAGAGGAACAAGACGATGTGCATGATGATGCTGCAACGGGCGAAGCTGCTGAAGATCAAGAGGAACCAGACGATGTGCCTGATGATGATGATCTCCGTTGGGTCATTGTCGATGCAAGGATGTAATGCGAAAGTCAAAAGGAGAAGCTGAAGTTCAATCACATGTTAGAGGATCACAAAAAAGGGTTGTACCCCAATTGCGAAGATAGCAACACAAAGCTCGGTACCGTACTGGAATTGCTGCAGTGGAAGGCAGAGAATGCTATGCCAGACAAAGGATTTGAGAAGCTATTGAAAATATTGAAGAAGAAGCTTCCAAAGGATAACGAATTGCTCGACAGTACATACGCAACAAAGAAGGTCGTATGCCCTCTAGGATTGAAGGTGCAGAAGATACATGCATGCTCTAATGACTGCATCCTCTACCACGGTGCATACAAGGATCTGAACGCATGCCCGGTATGCGGTGCATTACGATATAAGATCAGATGAGATGACCCTGGTGATGTTGACGGCGACCCCCCCAGGAAGAGGGTTCCTGCGAAGATGATGTGGTATGCTCCTATAATACCACGGTTGAAACGTCTGTTCAGAAACGGAGAGCATGCCAAGTTGATGCGATGGCAAAGTGAGGACCGTAAGAAAGACGGGAAGTTGAGAGCACCCGCTGACGGGTCGCAGTGGAGAAAAATTTAGAGAAAGTACTGGGCTGAGTTTGCACGTGACCCAAGGAACGTATGGTTTTCTTTAAGCGCGGATGGCATTAATCCTTTCGGGGAGCAGAGCAGCAATCACAGCACCTGGCCCGTGACTCTATGTATGTATAACCTTCCTCCTTGGATGTGCATGAAGCGGAAGTTCATTATGATGCCAGTTCTCATCCAAGGCCCTAAGCAACCCGACAACGACATTGATGTGTACCTAAGGCCATTAGTTGAAGAACTTTTGCAGTTGTGGAATGGAAACGGTGTACGTACGTGGGATGAGCACAAACAAGAGGAATTTGACCAAAGGGCGTTGCTATTCGTGACCATCAACGATTGGCCCGCTCTCAATAACCTTTCAGGACAGACAAACAAGGGATACCACGCATGCATGCACTGTTTACTTGACACCGAAAGTATATACCTGGGAAGCTGGAGGAAGAATGTGTACCTAGGCCATCGTCAATTTCTTCCGACCAACCATCAATGTCGAAAGAAAGGCAAGCATTTCAAAGGCAAGGCAGATCACCGGAAGAAGCCCGCCATGCATACCGGTGATCACGTACTTGCTATGGTCAATGATTTACACGTAATCTTTGGAAAGGGTCCCGACGCACTAGCTGTTCCGAATGACGCTGGGGAACACGCACCCATGTGGAAGAAGAAATCTATATTTTGGGACCTACCCTACTGGAAAGACCTAGAGGTCCGCTCTTCAATTGACGTGATGCACGTGACGAAGAACCTTTGCGTGAACCTGCTAGGCTTC